AGTCAAAGAAGGACCTGGCGAACATGCTGGATGTGCTCTGTGAGGGAAGAAGAGTAAACGAGAATGTCATCGAGATAAACAAAAACAAACTGACCAAGAAAATCACGGAGGATGTCATTGATCAACCCCTGGAAAACCGCTGGGGCATTGGTGAGGCCAAAATGCATCACCAGATACTCAAAGTGCCCAAGTGGGGTCTTGAAGGCAGTCTTCCACTCATCACCCTCACGGATGCACACGAGGTGGTAGGCACTTTTGAGGTCCAGCTTGATGAAGACTGCCGCGCCCTGGAGAGATTCGAAAGCAGAGGAAAGGAGAGGTAATGGGTATTTGTTTTTGACAGTTATTACATTTAAACCATGGTAATCTATACATAGACGGAGACCACCATCCTTTTTCCCCATGAACAAGAACCCTACACCAAGGGTTGAGGAAGAAGGAAGGCTCATGCAGAACCCTACACCAAGGGTTGAGGAAGAAGGACGGATCATGCCTGCACGTCGGGCTGTTTCAATGTACTCCTCCAGAGCCTGTCGTTCGGGTTTTGAGATGTGGAAGAGGCGACTGTTGGGCAAGGTGGCTCCCGGGTACAGGTCAATGGCACAGTCATATGGTCTATGAGGGGGAAGAGAGTCCGTGGCCAGGTGTTTACAGAATACCTGTTGCAGGTCGTGGTAGTCCGGATGTATGGAGGACAGGTCCAAAGGTTCCGGTGGTGCAGCAGGAGAAGAGGAGGTGGGTTGTTTGTCCGGCAAGGAGACAGGTCGATGCACAGTCCGGGCTCCACTGGGTGATGGTGCCGGTTGTCCAGTCAACAGTAGGGTTGTGTTGGACCAGCCAGGAGTGACCCAAAACCAGTGGTGTGTCTGGAATGGAGAAGATGTGGAAGTGGATGTCCTCGTGATGGTTGCCAGTGATGGTGAGACGGAGGGATGGAGTCTGGTGAATGATGTGGGTCAGCAGTCGGCCATCAATAGCCCGGGTCCCTATTGCATGGGGAAGTGTTTCGGCGATAAGGCTTAGTTGCTCCACCAGGGCTGGGTCCATGAGGTTACCCCCAGCTCCAGAGTCCAGAAGAGCATGGCGGGAGAACACCTGACCAGCTGTCTCCAGGAGCACGGGGAGGAGGCAGCTGGTACCCGGCCTGGTGGAGGTGGAGGGACGGCCCGTCAGTGTCCCCACTGTCACTGGCGGGCCCGCTCTTTTGGCCACACCGGGCAGGTGGCGATGAGATGTGCTGGAGCCCCACAATACAGGCATAACCCAGTGCGGATACGGCGGGCCCATTCTTCAGGGTCTAGACGGGCACGTCCCAGGTCCATGGGTTCATCTGTCTGTGTCTGTCGTGGAATGCAGGTCTGAGAATCCCCACTAATGAGGTGCAGCTGGTGAGTAATCAGGGAAGCGGGGCAGGTGTGTTGAATAGTGTAATCAGTGCAAGGGCTAGGCTAGTGTGAGGAAAAAGAAGAGAGGAAGGTGTAGCTGGGCAAACCTGACAGTGAAGACATTTTCACAGTATAGCATAAAAAAAATAGATATTTTATTTTGAAAGTTTTGTCTTTAATATTAATTAACTATGATAATTTGACTTTCTGCCAAATGCCAGTCAATGACTAACTCAGGCAAACTGCCAATTATGACATAATGATGAATGCATTAAGATATACTTACTGTCATAGAAACACTTCCCAATTCCAATCTGAGGAGTCAGAGACAGGGAAGGTCGCTTGCCTCAGTATCTCATTTTCTTCATACCCACATATTGAAATTTAAAGCCATTCCATACAGCTTTCTGCTGATCACAACGATTATAGAACATTGCATTTGTGTTAGATGAGTGAAAACGTAATGCAGAATATCTGCAACACAGAATCAGGCCGAGAACTTCCAACACCCTGAGCTTGGCTTGATGGAAACTTGCCACTGATATTCCACACATTAACAGCATAGTTGCTGGGATTTTTTTTTTCCTCAGTTGACAGAACAGCAAAGATTATGGTTATGAACAATAAATTAATGTTCTTTGGGTAGTGTAGATTTACAATTATCATTGCCAAACTTGAATAAAACAGGCCTGTAAAGGAAAGAATTGTGCAGAATGCTGAAAAAACACTTAGTTTTCATTGTTTTTAAGCCTGCACAGTGTTTTTTTTTCTTAGTAGAAGATATAGTGATATAAACTAAAGACTGACCTTTAACATTCTTTATACTCTACATGCAACAAGGATATTATAGTTGATGCAGGAGATTCTTTATAACTGAATCAGAATCAGAATCAGCTTTATTGGCCAGGTGTGTTGGACACACAAGGATTTTGACTCTGTTACAGCAGCTCTCATTGTGTATGTACATATCAACAAGCAAAGGAATGTGCATTAGGAAAAGAGATAAAAAATAAGAGTACAGTACTTGCATATAATATGTTTTGTAACTGCAACTTTGCCAGATAAAATTATGTGTGTATGTCTTGTAATTATTTCATTTTCAGTTATGCCATTTATATACACAAATTTTAAATGACAGATAACAGACAAACTATGACAAGCACAGATCATAAAGAGAACATTAAATTAGTTGTGGTCATGTGTCTCTACAGGCGTACGTTGCACACTCTGGTGGCTACACACACTGTCATGTCAGCAGCATGACCTTGACTGAAGTTGTTTGCCATCCACATGATGTGTCCATTAGGACAACAATGAATCCTCAGCTCTAATAGAAAAGAGACAAAATAAAAGGGAGAACAGAGCATTACGAATTATTATTATTTTTATTTATTTTTTACATACTGTATTTAATGAAAGACATCATTACAACAATGTGTGATACTGTGCTCTAACTAAAGACCATTTCAGCAAGGGAAGGCCAGATTAACCCCCTAGGTGGCAAAACTGAGCTGTGGGCCCCTATTATCAACCCTGTTTCTTCCATTATAGCAGTTTTAGATAGTGCTTAGTTTGTGATTAGGAACAAATGTATTTAGTAAAAACACCACTTAAATATTTATTGTCAAGATATTTGCAACATTAAATAGTAACAGCAACAACATCATTAACATTTTTCCATTATTCATGCAGTCCTGATGATGCATTTGTTTGTAGCTCTGTGTTGGTGGTGTGAGTCTTGTAAAAGGTCAGTTGTCCTAATTTTCTCTCAATTGTGCTACTTTTCATTCATTAAAGGTGTCAGATGTATCGGGTTTTTCATTTAGAAGATGTCTTTAACAACTACCTGCCACTGGTCCTGTGTTGGGATGCCATTCTCCCCCATCTTCTCTAACCTTTTTCTTTGCTATTAACAGCAAGAACATGCTACTCCCTATTATGCTTTCTTAAAGAGAACTTACAGAGATAAAGTAACATACCGTACAACTCACCAGAGCCTTGCACTCAGTGTCTACACTACTATTAGTTCACAGTCTAGTGCAATCCACTACAAGTGTTTGGGTTTGGGTTTTGCTGACTGTCATAGAGGTGTGGTTAGTGGTGATGTTGTACTGACCTGCATTGTATTCATAGATGTATCACATATTTTGTATGTAAAGAGAAAAAAATCATTCTCTGTATAATGTAATCCAGTGCACCGCTGACCTCAGAAATAAACATAACTGAGTGTACAGATTTATGCCAGTGTTACCAACCGGAGCAAGTAGCTGTTGTGCAATGGACTGTATGTAAAAAGTGACCAAGTCCTTAAGCTAGTATTAGTTACCAATTCCCAAACAAGTCATTTTCTGATATTTTCAAACAATATGTGAATGAACTGTGTTGTTCCAGCCACTCTTTATGACTTCTGTGTGTATCTGGCCATGGAGTCTGTTGTTACAGTGGCAGATTTAATAGTTTATTGTGGTGTCTCAAATAAATGTGTACAATGGCTGTATAACAGAACAAGTAGGCTATGCCAAGAAACTTCTGTTTAATAAATATACATGCAAATCGGCCAGTCATCATTTCATTACACTGACCACACTACTTGCTTGTCAGGTGCTGCTACTCTATCTCTTGTTTATTACCAAGTTTGAAATTTTTAGCGGAATATCAGATTTGTCACAATTTATGGTTGGATGAAATTAAATCCTTGCCTCCTAACAATCATGCCGTGTTGGACCTAAGAGTGGTGCCTTACAGTCAGAAGAAATGTTTGAGTGATTAGGCCTACATCTAACCTACCCCTCGGTCTCCTCCTCTCCGCCTTTCTCACTCTGCCATTGGTTAGAACGAGGCAGGCTTCGGGATGATGATGCTTGGAAAGGGGGGTAAAGTCGGAGCGCACGTCTCCCCTGCTGCGCACACATGCACAGAAAAAGTGAAGGGAAGATGCTTCTTTCTTTTCGATCAACAGTGCAGTCCGTAAGACATTCGGTACTTCTTCTCTCTTACCAGCGCGTCAAACTGTCCCGTTCCCTGGCTTACAGGAGGAACTTGCGCAGCCGGGGCTCGTCCAGTTCGGGAGGCGAGGGGAGGCACCAGAGATCCAGAGCACCATCACCCCTATAGCGAATCCGTGGAGAGCCACGCGTCGGTATGGGCGCGCAGACAAAAGGACGTTACCTCTCGACGATGGGCCTCCTGATTCTTGTTTACTGCGCAGTATCCGTGATCTCCAAAGGTAAGAACTGTGCATGTGTGCATGCATGGCTATTTTGGGTGTCACTACATTTTAAATGATTTCACTCGGCGCGTAATAAAAAGAAGAAGAAGAGAAAATCTTGTGCCATCCTCGTGGGCACGCACCGTTTGTTATGTTTTCCTCGTGTTTGTAAAGATTTTTTTTACATCTTTAAAGGTTTTGAAGTATACAACTGTACACATTCAAATTTCAACGTGGGTTTTTGATTCACCCTCGGACTTACTGTCACTGTTTGAGCCTTCTCCCAATGCGCAACAGAGCTTCAGATATTGATTCATCAAGCCGCAGCTCACACTGTCAAGTTCCCACACTGTTTATCTTTTTCATATCCCTGTCAAATCGATGTTAATCGTCCCATTGTCCCTCAGTCCTCGCAGTATTTGATGAATCTATCATCATGACGGCACAGCATCCAGGAGTAGCTTTTGATACAGGCACGCCGCTGTGCAACAGGCATGTCACCGATCCACTCCCTTATATCATGAAATGGATAGTGTCAGGGAAAATAAGGGAATGTGACAGGCTGCTTGTGCAGGGCGCAGGGGCATTTATGTTGAACTAAAGCACAAAGTAAGAAAAGCAACTGATGCACCTTAAATGATTTTGAAAAGGCATGAGTGCTGGATTGTTTTGGAGTGTACTTTGGAGAAACATTTTCATTATTAGTTTGAACCCATGTGCCCATGTGGTCTACAAAACAATGATCCACATGTTTTGCACATATTGTGCTGGTGAAAACAACTGAATGTGGGGTGGTAGTAAAGACAAAAGTTTAAGTTAAAATAATCACAAACCAGAAAGAAAACAAACATTTCCACAAAATATGTTTGGATTTAGTAAGAAATATTATTTGATGAAGACTTTCCCATAGCTGAGGTTTAAGTAAGATGAAGCTACTGCACTGAGAGCCACTCATTCCCCCAGTCTAATGTTTGAACACAAACATAGAACTACAAGTATGTTTACCTTTCAGTTATGCGACTGGGTTTGTGACTGACTTGAAAAAATGTTCCTCATCCTTTCACAGCTCCTTCAACAGCTGTGACACATAACAGATTATTCAGATTCTTGTTATTGTAGGTTATAGGTGAGTGTAGCGATGGCATTTAAATCCTGTGTGATATTACTCTCTCCCTCTTTAAAGCCACATAATCTAAACTCACCGCGTGGCAGCTTAACAACTGTTGCCAACTACAGTCACTGAACATGGGTGTGCCCTGTTAGATTGAGCACAGAAATGCTCCAGGTTTTAATCGGATTATTTATCTGGTGGAATCCATTGCTGTATTGTGGTGATTCATGAGCTGCATTAAACACAGAGTTTAAACATGGAGCTTCCATGTGTATCATAATGTTTTGAGTTTATTTGTATGGCACCAATTTTCCTGCCATACTGCACAAATACAGAAATTTGCCAAGTGGGCTGCTTGTTCAAAATCAACAGAGAAATGATGCTCACAATAAAAAAGGAACTAAATGCATACTTAAAGCACATCTGTCCATTAAAGCCAGTGGCTCAAAACCTTTTTGGCTTGTGACCCTTAAAATGCAGTCTCCTTCATAACAGGCTACTGTATTTATGAACAACGAGAAGCTAAAAGAGAGCTCCGGTGATTTAGCATTGCACTACCATAAAGCTGGGGGACTCATAAAAGACACTTAAAAAAGACCAAAATTTGTGCAGCAGAGCCCAAGATATCCAGACTCTTATTTTTTAGTAAGAGTCAAACTCCATAAACACTGCATCCTACACTAACCACAGTGCAACTTTCATTAGTCACTCCTTGCCTTATAAAGGGACACATCACACCTTTGACTTGCAATACAGACTTTCTGTTAAGTTCTCTTAGAAAGTCTCAGTATAACCCTGATAACATCATCTGGGTTATCACTGGTATATGATGAAACTGAAGGATCTCTTATACCCAGGAGGTGACATCAGTAAAATGCCCTCCTGATTCCCTGGTTCTATGGCGCTGAATCATATTCAAACATTTGCCAAAGCAAAAGAATCTAAAAATTGCTGATCTGACAATCTCTGGATGGAGCTTTTGTTCACCGGTAGTTGTTTAGGAGACAGTTCAAATTTGGATTTTATTTAAATTTAGTATTTGTCATTTGCAACAAAGAAGCCCCACCAGAATATTAGACTGGACAAACAGGCCAAATCTGCAGTTTCTCAGGGACTGTTGTTATGGTAGCCTAATTATACAACAGCATCTAGGGCCGCAACAAATGATTACTTTCATTTCTAATTAATATGTTATTTTTGAGCAGTCATTTTGTCTATAAAGTGTTAAAAACTAGTATAAATGCAAATTATTATTTCCAGAGCCCATCTGGCTATCAATCCAAAACCCAGAGTTATTCAGTTCACTTCAATATGACAGAGAAAAGCAGAAAATCCTCAGAAACTGAAATTAGATTGTTTGGAATTCTTACTTAAAACTAATCAAAATAGTTGCGGACTGCTTTTCTTTAAACTCACTAATCTGTTAATTGACTAATTGTTTCAGGGTTTGATGCAGCTGCATAAAAATGTCACTTAATGCATCTTGAAGGCTTTCCTGCTGTCTGCAGGGATCGAAGTGACATTTTGTGCAGTCTCCAGTTCTCTTTATACATCACCCGTGCTTTCTGTGTTGCCATTTCTCTGCACGTCATGTCACTTTCAAAGGCCAAACATGTAATGACAGATGTCACACGGACATTTCCCCATGAGCTTGACTCCATGAACTAAACAGCAGCATGCCCAATGGTCTGGCCGCAGCGGGACCTAACAGTTATAGCTTGCACTAAAAATGGCTAGAAATGAGACTCAAGCGAGGGATCACATGAGGAGGGCTCCTCCTGTGTAATGCAGCCGTGAGTAAGCATGGCGTGGCCCAGGGGGAATCTTTAAAAGGCTTTTCAATTGTGTCTCACACTTCTTTTCATGGAACACAAGTTAGAGCTTCCTCCTATTAGATGTGACTTCCTTACAGATCAGGTTTGCTATTACCATGTATTTGTCTCCTAATGAAGCCCTGCTTAAAGATGCAGAGAGGCTATCTGAGTTTACGGATATGTACTATCCCTTATAACTTGGCTTCTGATGAGGCTCTTGTTGATTTCATTTGCCATGCGGTTGCATTTATTTGGTACCTGATGGTTAATTAATGTGATTTAGCTAGAGAGAGAAGGTGTGCAAGAAAAGTGAATAAGATGATTATCTGATATTTGAGGACTGTTGAAGTCACCTAGTTCATTTGCCAATAATTCAGTGTTTTCTGCTACAGGTTTTTCGACTTCTGCATACAATTACAAGAATACGTTATGAGAGTAGTAGTAGTATGGACGTGCTAATGTTTGCCTTGCTGGAAACAGTAAAAATGGCCAGGCCCCTGGTGGTAACCTTATTTGGTGTACATTAGTAGCAAACAGCTTCTTCCAGCTCCACAGATGGACATTTGTGTCAAATCTTGCTGAAGTAACCATCGCCACATGGCGTGCGATGCCTTGTGATGCCGCATCGCTCGATTTTCTGACACTGCAAGCTCATTTGACATGTGGACTTGTCAGTTCTCTCCAGGCTTTAGTTCACTCTTGACCTTGCTCTGTTCTTGTTCTTCAGGCATGAGCAAAAATATATATAGAAAGAAAGAATAAAAATTCACATAGCAGAATACAGAGAATGCACCAACTGTGGCTACTTTTGTTTTCGATAAAAAAAAATAAAATCTCAAGGTTTTTTTTCTTTTTGCTGTGTACAGGGCTTTCATGAAAACAGACAAAGGTCAAATCTGTTATTTTCCCTCAGAGAAAGTAAAGGGGCTCTTGTATTTTGTCAATTCTAGACTGAATCATCATAGTCAGGCTGCTGTGGGTGACAATGTGCGCAGTTCAGTGCCCAGATTTACATTTAAATGAAACCAAATGGCTGTACATTCAGAAATGATATACAGTAATGATGATGGTAATAAAAGCAAAGTCCTGTTTCATATTGGACTGACTCCTACTTGGGATTGCTGTCATTTGGGGATTGTGCAGGTATAGTTGGTGAGTTATGTCTTTTCTATGTCAAGACTATTACCTTCACATTTCAAGGAGAAGATTCATCAATGTGCTGCCTAAGAACCTTAATGTAGTCAGCAATCAGCCTTGCAGCTCAGTGGGATTTCCTGTCCACTATTTGGCTGAATGGTACTTCAAGACATTCAACATTTTCCAGCCAGTGTTTGTTTTCTACAAGTGGTTTGAGAAAATCAGATGAATCTACTTTTCCATCCACCACCATTATGTGAGTGGTAGCATATAGGTGGTAAAGATAAACAGCATGTGGCATTCATTTGCCATTCAGGTTCATAAACAGATATTAAGGTGGAAGTGCATTGAATTGCATACAATTGTAGGTGTACCTAAAGGGGCCATTGTGTGTATATTGTCTCTTCAGTGAACATTTAAGCCACATGCTATATGTACTGTACATCATGATTACGTCTAATGCACTTTGTTTTTAATCAGTGCAGCAACTTTTCCATCTAATCCAAGCAAAAAACAGTTTTAGCAGTATTTCAAGACACAGACACAAATTGCAAATCTGAAAAATAGGAGGATTGACACCCACCTTATATAGCATAGGGTTACACTGCAAGGGTCTTGGCGTAGTTGGACTGACTACTAGCCAGTTCCCAGATGGACTCATCTGGGGATATTATCTGTCAGGTAACCAGTTAGAGCAGGACCCAAATGCAAGACAAGAGGTGAGAAGGTTTTGTGAATGTTAATAAAGGTGTGAATGAATTGACAGAACTGTTGCAATATGGATGAGTTATGCAGGAGCTGGTGGAATTCAGGTAACATTGCAGAGGGGCAGCATGGGCCACTAGCCGTTGTAAGAGACGCATAGATCCAGTGAGCAGAAGCTGAGCACAGGCCTTCAGATATCTTATAGCTGAGATGCAGAATTTACTGGGACCATTCCAGCGGTCTGTCTCTAA